GCGTTATCCTGGCTCCGTCTCCCTTCTGTAACCGCCGCTCCACAACAGTTCTCACTGTCAGAAAGTTTCTCCTTATTTCCAGGTTAAATCTCTCCTTGTTCGGTTTCCAGGGGGAAACTTTGTGGGACACTTTGAGCCTAGAATATTGAACCTTTTCACAATATTCTAATTTTCTGAGATTGTGGATCTGGGGTTTTCATGAGCTGTAAGCCATAATCATCTCAATTATGACACATCACAGCTTGAACTATCTTGCTTTGCATGTAATGAGTCTATCTCATATATTAGGTTCACCTTTTAAGCAGCACTACTGAAATAAATGAACTTTTGCACGATATTCACGATATTTCACCTGTAGAGGCGCAGCAAACCCACATGCTCGCCTTTTTCTCTTCATAAAGCAATGTCTACGAGAAGCTACTACTGAAAATGAAGAAGACCCCCCTTTTTTGCCTGTCCCTCAGGAAATCTTTTGATTTTCATTATTCCTGAATACTTAATGGAAGGTCTTATTGGACCTCATCTTTTAGCAGCTAATTATTTCTGGCGACTAAGGAAAAAACTGCAGTCAAACCAGGTAGAAGCTGCTTTGGGACTGATGATGTCCACAGATTGTGTTGATACTGCAGATGATTTTCATTAGAAATAACAGGATATGAATGTCTATATTAATCATTTGCACCTGAACTATTCCAAGAATCCACTTTGGCAATGATTTGTTTTCTAATAAATAAGAAATTACTTCAGCCATAGAGGCACAGGGCACTCTGTATGAATTCAAAAGATGCCAGAAATTAGAGAAGTTGACTTAGAACATGAACAAGTTCAACTAGCATTTTAATTTTCCACTGTAAAATACTTTGCAGAATTATCTTCTGCAGACACATTATGGAGTAGAGATGAAACATGTAATGAAACAAAGCCTTCAAATTAACATTAAGATTTTTTTTAAAAAATGTTAAGTGAAAAATAATTAGAAAGTTTATGGCATACATTGGCCTGTGATTAAAAAAATATAGAGAATACTGCAATGGGCAAATTGAAGAAAGCACTACAGCATCATTTTTGGTAGGGAAAATGCTTTTAAACAGAATGTTCAGAATGTTTTAAATACAGATATGGTTAGAATGTTGAAACTTCAATTACTTAAAATCTACTAAGTGAAAATGAAATTGTACCAGTTCTGAAAAAAATCCATGACAACTACCTCCGTAAAGTATAAAAGCAACTAGGCATTGCATTCAACCCACCACTCCTATGTAAAGAAAAACTTTTAATAAGCAATTAAAGCAAAGGATTTGACAAGATACAGGTTTAAGAAAAACATAGGCAAGATAGAATTGGACTTCAGAGTATTTTTGTTTCATAGATTGAGCCAAACGAAGGCATACTGAGTATAAAAATTCCATGGCTCAAGAATTCAATTTTTTATGTAGATTCTTGATTTCATGCCTTGAGGTTTTTATAAAAATGGTAAGGTCAAGTGAATACTATGTAGCAGACTCTTGGGTTCTATGCTGTTCCCAGCAGAGCAATTAAAACCCCAGGCAGAAAACAGACTTCCCACAATGCCATCAAGAATTTTGTCTGTAGCATTATTAAGATTATGCTACTATAATCACAGTAACACTGTTAACGATCCAATGAAGTGGCAAAATTTTGCCCATTTTATAATTCTCATTTTAAAACAATCACTTTAATGGGGAAAAACGTTGCGATGCTTTTTATATGTTGCTCACACATCTCTCATGTTCCCAGCAGTTCCCATGAAGTCTAAAAATCAGCTGACTGAGCTTGCCGTTTCTTTTGGCAATGGTTCTGGGAACGAAGACAAGTTCACTTTGCAGTGTATCTTTCCTTTCCCTTTTTAAACCTCCATATGCACCCATACACAAACGTAGTTCTTTGATTACTCAGGGAGGTCAAATAGGATAAAAAATAGACCAAAATAATTTATTTGCACTTATGAGAATTTAAATGCAGGCTTGTTTAGTTCACATTCTTCCAAACAGTAACAAAGCCATCACAAGCATCAATTTTTTATGTTTCTATCCACAATTGACAGATACTTTATAGCAATTAATCTTTGCAATAAAGCCCTATAAATAAAACTCTCAACGTTCATTAAAATGCTGTGAAAATTTGTTATGAGGACTGCATACTCTGTGAACTTTGAGTGAATAATAGGCACTGAAGCCTTTTATTAACCTTTCACTACCCCAAATTAAGTCTAAAGAATCTAATGTTGATGGATGAGGATTTCTCAAAACATTAAATATAAATCCAGAAACAAACATGACCTAAGAGGCAACTGAATTGTGCACAAGGGATTGGTAGAGCTACCTATTCTTTGGTGTCTATCTTTTGAACCTGAAGAATTCAGCTTGCTTAATATTTCAAAACCCTGAGTCTTTTATTTAAATAAGGTAACATCTCACTACATATTCTCAAAAAAGCTCTTTGAAAATTAGGTGAATAGGTTACTATACGGAGTGATTTCTTTGCCTTCTCTAGTTTTGAACTGTATCATCTATTAGTGATGTAGTGAATCCTGTTGTGTGCAGAGGATTAAACTTGAATGACATCTTAACTCCCTTCAACTCTATTTCATTTAAAGAAATAGAACAAAGCAGGTGTCATTTTTACTAACATCAGAGTTGATGGAATGCATATATGATGAGCTTTGTTTCCCTCAAGTGCAGAATATATAACATAACCTGCAAGTCAACTTTTAGGTATTTTCAAACAAAAAAAAGTTTGAGAAACTTTTTCTGTACACCTTAAATCAGGGGTCTGCAATTCCCAAGCAACAGCTTGTTTGGAATTGGGCTGTGCAAGCAGCAGGCGAGTGCACAGCTCCATTTGTGTGTGGCTGCATACGCACCACTTGGTGGATGCAGGATTGAAGTTTTACACTTTTCAGGAAAATTAATTCAAAAACTTGCTTATTGTCAATCACTCTTTCAAATTTTAAGAATGTTCACATGATTAATCTGTGAAAATGTACCTATAACCCCAAAAGATCATTGAAGCATTAAATGTATCAGGTTCTTTTACTCTAAGTTGCTTTAGTATTCTTCTAATGCAGCACGTTAAAAACATTTGGCACAGGCCAAGTAATTTAGAAATATGTTTAGGTGACATTTATTGGTGGCAAACCAAGACATGATGAATTTGTTAAACTTTCTGGTCCTTTCATTACAAAATCCTGGAATATTAATTTTCAATATTCAGATGTGTGCTTTAATTTTCAGTATAATTTAACCATCTTACCTCTACTTTTGGGATACTTAAAATTAAAAGATAGGTTTTTGATATTTTATGGTAAGTATCATAGAAGTTCTCTGGCTACCTTGTCACTCAATAGGAAAAAAATCAAACCCAGAATTTTATTATTCAATAGGTGCCACAATATAATGATGGCACAATAGAAGTAATTCTAATCATGACTTTCAGTTATGTACTTTGACCAGCTATAAATTTCTTACCGATGTCATCTTTTAATCAACAATCAAATGTATAGAAATTTCAGTTTCATACTTTTTTTTTTTTAAAAGCACGACATTAAAAATATGAAGAATTAATTTTATTAATTCATATATAGTTTTTGCATTTTACAGCTGAAATTCTGGAAACTCAAAAACAACATCTTTGCCCGTCAGCTTCTTGTATACACCAGAAAATGTTTCAACCTGCAAACAGAATAATGAAACATCAGCAAAAATGGGAAGCATACAATATTAGTGATTACATTAAAGAAAGAAAACTACTGGAAAGGATATGTCAAGTCAAATTAAATTATATATATATATATATATGGTATTACCATATACACTTTTTAAAAAAATTATGACCACGCCCTAAGATTAATTTATACATCACTTAACATTTATAGGAACAACACATTTGGCACAAGGCGTAAGCTATGGGAGGTGGCAGCACAGAATCAATATTGACTATAGAAATCACATAGTTGAACCTGGCTGGTACTTAAAATGATAAACCACCAAAAAGCCTCCGGGATGTCAGCTACACCATGAAATAAAGTATGGTAGCTAATAAATACAAAGCAGAAATAGCAAGGTACTTCTGTAATTTGCCAAGAAAATAAAATGTGTCCAGGTATTCACTAAGAATCAAGCTTGAAGTTGTCTCTAATATTTTATATTATATTTAATATTAATATTTTCAAATAAAGAAGCCATTGAGAGTTGACAATTCAAGCTGTTAACCAAAACTATTTCATTTATTGTGTCTCAGAATATTAACAACAATCTGATACACAAAGTCAGGATTTGAAGACAGGACGAAACAGAACTTCCCTTCCCCTGCATCAATTCAAGTTTCATCCTATGCATAACTGTTGTAGAATTTCTATGACCTAACTGGGGGAATGTGTACTATGAATAGCAATTAAAATAGAGACCACGTACAGACCTCACTAAACAAATATGACAGATTATGTATATAGGATGTTTATTATTTGTGGTAGTCAATTCTAAAAAGTCGCTGTGAACAACGAATTAGCAAATATTGAAACTTCAGCTAGAAGTGTGGCATCGTATTACATTTTGCAACTACAGATAAATTTTGCAAGTAAGCAAATTAACAAATATGAAATCCATGAATAAGAATTGACATTAATTTATATAGGGTCATTACACAAGTAACATAAATTAAATAAACATAAATTAAGCCATTTAGATGATCATTACAGAAATGATGTCAATCTAAATTCCAGTATGAAAATTCTCAAAAGGAAACAGCCTGAATCCGGTTACTACTAAAACAAGGAATAGATAAAAACTCTTTATCTCCTGCCCAAGAGAACTGTGTCTAGTAGTTCATGTGGTGGTTTTTTTTTTTTTTTTTTTGGGGGGGGGGGGGGGGGGGAGAATACAAGAAATGCAAAAACTATTATTAAAAATGTATTATTAGATGTTCATGGATAACTGTCCACATTTAGTTTGGTTTTGGCCTAACCCACCAATATTAGTTGCAATCTGCCTGACATGAAGTCCATTAAAATGAGATACAATAAACTGTGGTTTTACTGTATATCTAAGTCTTTTTTTTTTTCCTAATCCACGGATAGTTCCGAAAAACTCTAGATTTTTTTTTCCCTTCCAGGTTTTGTTATGGTAGTGGTGTTTCAATAAGTGTAAACTAAAAGCATTTTGAGTATTTGGACATATTCTAAATGAAATATTGGACATACTTAAATTTGGAACTGTCATTTAATGAGAGTTTCAAAGTTATGATGGCCTTCAAAAAAGTGATTTGTAACCTGTACATGTGACTATGGCACCTCCATACTCGTGATCATTTTTTGTAACATGCCAATTGGGGAAGCTGGATTTGCTTAATTATTGAATTTGGTTAAGCATCATAACAATTTCGTAAAATCTGGTCTAACTCAACAGAAATTTCAGTCACAATCGGTGTTGTAGATTGAAGGCTACTGGTAGGCCTGTTTCAAGGCTAAGCTAATGAAAGTTTGGAAGAAGTTTGACAGAAAATTAAAACATTTTAGAATTTTTCAGAAGGATCTGTTCCCATATCATCGGATTCCACATATCCCGGTAACACAGGCCATGTTTCTCTATTCCTTATCTAGCCTAAATAATGCTTTGTGTCCCTCTTTTTGACCAAGGAAAAAAAGAAAAAAAACCAAAACACCAACATTTGCAAACCTTGCAGGTACCATATTTCAGTAATTCCAAGAAAGTTGGACCAAGTTTACATTACTCTCTGTCCTTTGATCATTTATCTAATTTTCAAATGTATCAGCTTCATCAAATGATCTACTGCAGTCTACTTTCTGCATTTATCTAAAGTTTATTTGAGTAAAAGCAAACTCCTTCAACTTTTTCTTACCTTGTGTTCAACGTTGTTCTGTTGCGCTTTGTCTAAATGGACCTTTATAAGCCGGCTGCCATCTAGTTTTACACGGATTCTCTTGCCCACAATTTCACTGGGGAAAACCAAGTCTTCAAGAATGGCATCGTGCACTGCAGTAAGTGTACGGCTAAACAGAAGAGAATCAAAATATTTGCTACAGTGCCTTCAAATTTTATACAACTTCCACTAAGGCAATGGTGCCCAACCTTTCCACCTTGGTGGCCTGGCCGGGCATGGGCGTGTGTGTGGCATGAGTGGCGGGCTCATGGGCACACAGATGGAGCTTTGTGCGTGAATAGAGGTCCCTTGTGTGCGAAGCTTCACTTGCGCTCAAGCATGTAGCTCTACTCACAGAAGCAGAAGGTATAACGGTCCATATCACTTGCACAAGTGGAGTTTCTCACACACTTACCCATCGTTTGCAGGGTCCAGTTTGAAACAGGCCATGGCCTGGTAGTGGTTCACAGCCCAGGGGTTGGGCAACCCCTGTGCTAAGGAATCATTCAGTTTTAAATTAAAACTGGTTATTTATGGGGAGTATTTTAAATCAGACATTCTGCTTCCCAAACAACACTGTATTACCTAAACAACAAGATTAAATTTAAATTTTTAAGTAGCAACTACATTTTAGTGAAACGATTGGCTATTGTTGCCCATTTATCACTGTAACAAAGTAGACTGTACTAAGCAAAGCACGGAAGGCAATTATATTTTTCTCTCAGCTAGCCTTGCTTGGTATGTGCATTCAAAAAAATGCAATGAAATTACCAATGGAGTCTCCAGGATCAGAATCCAAATGGCTAAATTTACATAGAGTAATAAACTATAACCCTGCAAAATATTAGCTTAAAATGCATGAAGTCTCTTGGATCAAATAGGGCTATTTCCATCCCGAGTGACTAAAAAACCCTAAAGTAATTATGTTGCTAAAACTGAGCTTAGGGCTCAAGGCTAAGTATCTTACTAATAAACTTGGCTTATAAACAATGCAACAAGCCATTAACCTTAGTTCAGACAAGACTATTATTGGAAAGAACCAGATGCAAAATACACATTTGCACTGCTACTAAAGAGAAGGCCCTAAGAGCAAAATGATATATCCCTGTTTGATTAGACATAATGTTCAAGTCAGCCTTTGCAATACAATGTACTGTACTTGGAAACTTTGCAACTTTCTGTAATATCCATACTGTGTTAACAATATAAAAGGCAAAAATGGTACATATAAGCCAAAATAACAATTTCTCAGAACACCCAATGAATTGAACTTTATCTGTCTTGTGATTTCCAGGACTGTCTGTCCATCTAATTTATGTAAGCTGGCCATTTCAAAAGTGATTCTGGTCAGTATTCAACAAAATTACAGAATTTACTTGATTACTATTTGTATTGTCCCCAACCAGACTGAGAATAGTTGATTCCGGAAGCTCATCCACAGTGTCAGAGAGGCACAATATTTTCTCCATTTCAGCTTTACTCCAAATTATGTAAAAATCATACAGGCTATGGAATTCTGGGACTTGAAGTCTAAACATCTTTTAAAGTTGCTACGGTTGAGAAACACTGGCACAAAGTGCAAGAAAAGAATGTTGCATCTAATAATTCTAAGTACAGCTTTGCTTTTTAACATGATCAAATAAATTCTGCAAAATTTTAATGTTTCTCAACTAAGACTTACTATGTTTTCAGATGGTTTCAGACATTGTTTAAAAATTATTCTGGGAGATTGCCAAATGTTGTTTGCCAACCCAGTCTAAGGTATAACTTAAAAAACTAAGTACACAACAAACTGCTTTTGTTCATTCCTGTTTATTCCATACCAATTTGCTCTAGAGCAGGGGTGTAAAACTCACGTTGTCACGGCAGTGTCACTGACGCATTGGAACTTTCCCCCACTTACACTAAACCGGGGAGGGGGGAGCATGTGACACATTCAGTCTGGGGGCATGAGTTTGATACCCCTGCTCTAGAGGGGTATTCAACTAAATATAAGAGCAATTTCTGACAGCATTTTCCATTCCTTCAAGACAATAAAAATGGATAATTTTCAAAATAATTTTATGCTCAGGTAGACATATTCATCTACCGGTAGCCTTCAACTTACAACTATAATGGCGCCTCCGATTTCTATTCTATCTCATGACCGTTTAAGTCGAGGCATCGTGACTAACCTAATGTTATGACTTTTTTACAACAGTCACTAGGCAAATGCCACCATCATTAAGCAAACCCATTGTCCGTAATGGACTTTTTTTTGCTGGAAACTAAATAAATGTCAGTTTCTGGCCAAGCCTGCCCCCCAAATAAATCAGTCACATGACCATTGGATGAAACAAATGGTTGTAGCTAAGATGCGATCATGTGACTGCTAGGAAGTTGAGAACTACCTGTAATCCATTACTCTTCATTCCAAATCTTGACAACAGATTTCTATTGGCTTAGGCAGATGCCTTTATCATTATTTAGGATCTTTATGCAAATTATTATACATTAGACCTAACATTTTCCTCCATGCAAACCATGTGCTATAATCTATTATAGACCATTCATACTGAGACCAAATAACCAAATAAACTCATACACTTGCCATTAAATGTCTCAAACTTCCAAGCATTAAATCACATTAACTTATAAATTGCATGGAAAGATTTGAACATGGTTGTATCAAAATATTTTTATTTCTTTTCAAAACATTACCTCCTGGGACGCTTCTGCTTGTTTTTTGTGCGGCTTTTTCTTGTTGGCTTGGGTAAAATTCTTCTCTGTTAAAATAAGATAACAGCATATCTATAAGTTTAGTTTAGTTTACTTTATTGTCATTGCACCTCATCCAATGAAATTAAATGGTGTTTCTTACACAGTGTAGACAGGCAACTTTTACAACAAATTAGCTTTTGGGGAGGCTTTCAGTACAATACAAGGCACAAATTAATTGGAAGAACCAGCACTGAGTAATCATATACTGTAGATTACACATTTCATAAGTGAACTGATCATCATTATAACACTCATTTTCAGTTTGTAAACTCCAAAGTTTTAAATATTTATGATAAACACCCACCTGGGCAATGAAAACCACGTGCTTTCCACTGAATTTTTTCTCCAGCTCACGAACTAGCCGCACCTGAATCTTCTGAAAAGATTTCAGCTGAGGAACTGGTACGAAAATGATGATTGCTTTTCTACCACCACCCACTTCAATCTCCTAAGCAAAAAAACAGAACTGAGGATGAACATGATTTACATTTTAAAAGTACAAAACTAGCAATTTTACTTCCATAAACACAAAAAATCCAATCTTAATTTTTAGAATTTCTATGGGCAAAAATGTAATCTGGCAGTCCCATCTCTTCTTGCACACTAAATTCTGAGAAATTCCTATGGAAAGATCTAGACAGAACTTTTGAATGCATCACTTTTCAAATCCAACATAATGAAAACTATCATTTTACATCTTGGTTTTGTAGCAAGGAAATTGCATTTATCAATACCTAGTTAACTCCTTTTTTATGAACCTGTAATCCCTTAATTCGGAGTAGAGTTGGGTCAACTGGATGGAGCCGAGTGATTACTGGCTCAATGCCCTTCCTGACGACACATGGAGTTCGCAGATTTATTTTTTGCGCCCTAGAAAAGAAACATCTACTGCTACCTAGGATTGAATCAATACCTACCATAGTATAAAATAACTAGTTTTAGGTTTTTGAAAGCATTTAAATTGACACGTGCACCTTAAATGTGCAAGTCTTCAAGTTGTTGATGTAAAAATTACACAGTAAGAAAATAAGCTGATTCAGCTAACATATCTGATTTCCACACAAGATTTTTTTAAATGTAGGCATGTAACCAATTATACTGATTCAAAGTGTTATAAATACCTTCTATAATTTTGTGACTGCAGTTACACACCGAAGGAGTTTTAGGAACATACAGAAGACTTCTCTTAAGCAGCTTTTTATTTTGAAGAAATAACTTTCTGTATCAACAAAACTCCATACTCTATTGAGGCTAACTCATATGAGAATTATTTCACAGAACTCCTATACAGGTAGTCCTTGGCTTACAACAGTTCATTTACTGACTGTCCAAAGTTACAGTGGCACTGAAAAAAGTGAGTTATGACCATCTTTCACACATGATCTTTGCAGCATCTCCATGGTCACAATTTACATTTGGATGCTTGACAACTGACTCACATTTATGGCTGTTGCAGTGTCCTGGGATCATTCATCACCTTTTACAACTTTCTGACAAGAAAAGTCAATAGGGAAGCCAGATTCACTTAACAATCGTGTTATTAATTCAACTGCAGGGATTCACTTAACAAATGTGGCAAGAAATATCATAAAATGGAGTAACACTCACTTAACAAATTTCTCAGTTAGCAACATAAATTTTGGTCTCAATTGTGGTCTCATGTTGAGGACTACCTGGATTGGAGTTTATTCAAGGCTACAGCAATTTCTAGGTTTCAATGATAAAAGTAAATCAATGGCATGGATGGAGAAACTATAAAATCAAACACTAGGCATTATATCTGGATATACTAGATTATTGTTCTCCTCCATCCTACTCAATTGTCTGGGACCTTTGGGGTCCATGCATACAAAATATATAATCCCAACCGAAGCTTACATATCACCTTTGCTGCTGTAATATTCAGTTCTCTCAGCTGAGCCTTTAAGTCAGAATTCATCTCCAACTCCAAGAGAGCCTTAAGAGAAGATTATTATTAGATTTATAACTTGTCTTTCTGCTTTGGATGCTTTACTTTTCACAAATAATTATATAACCATGGCATTTTGATTAAAATACTTAGATAAACTACACATTCAGCTGAAATGTCTGGAAGCTATTAGCCCAGGCTCCTCTTAAATACATTGAAATACATAAGGCAACTTCCATTTCTATTAAAGATATTTCAACCACAGAATCTTACTAAATTTTACAACTGCATGTTCATTTAGGCTACACAAATCATAAATAATTTACAAATCCTTAATTCTAACCAGCTCATTAGTCACGTTTTAAAACTGCTCTTATTTCCTTCAGCCTAAAATGTTCAACAAAAAGGGCACATACCTGGGAGATGCCAGATTCAAATTCATCTGGCTTTTCGCCATTGGGCTTCACAATCTTTGCGCTCGAACTGAACATGGCCTTTCTACAATCAAAAACAAAACAAAACAAAACAAACCCTTAGTACAGAATAAAAAATGTCCTTCTCAAAAGTTAAGGAAAAGCAATGTTGGCTGTGTGGGATTAATTTTTTAACTAAACCTACAGATTGAAATCTACAACATAAATGTATAGAAATACTATACAAAGCAGTGATGCATTTATTAAGGATCTAGTAAAAGAAAATCTAAGTTCAACCATCTGCTTGACAATAATTTCTGAAGTGCAGTTTCCATATAGTAAAAGCTTACAAGAGTAGCCTACCTCATAAGGATATTGTACATGGCCAATACAAGTTGCAAAGTGCATGATGCCCTTATTTACACACAGCCCTTTACACACACATTTATATCACCATGCTGGATTAATAGTACCTTCTCAGAACAGTTACTGCGAAACATTCCACACCAAGGAGGTACTCAATAACATCTTTTCCAAATACCCTCTAAAAATCAAATTGGTACCCTGGTCAAGATGAACCAAAATAAAATGATTATGACTCTAGGTATCCCAAAGAGGCTTTTTAAAAAGGCATGTGGATTTTTTTTTCCTTAAGATATTTTACTTCTCATCCAAGAAGCTTCTTCAGTTCAGAACTGAAGCAGCTTCTTGTATGAGAAGCAAAAGGTCTTCAAGAAAAAACAAAGTCCAGTTAGAAAAAGCCTCTTTGGGACAACCACGACCGAGAATCTCTAGACAGACTCTAAATAATACACATAAATGCTACAGAATCTTTCTAAAGAATGGAATAGAATTTGCCATGTAGAAAAAAAAAATCTTAACTTCAAACAGTTGATCCGTTTGTGTTATTCAGTATATGGGAAATGCAAGCTGAGGAAAATGGCAATTAACCTCGTGTTAAATTCAAAGGCCTTTAAGCAAAGTTGGCTGATTTGCATCAGCATCTCACCAGAACACACATGCCGAAGCTTAGTAAGTTCATCCACCATGTGCCATCCAAGAGAGCAAGAGGACCCACTGAGTAAATGTCTTTGGGAAAGAACGGGGGTAGAGGGGGGAGAACAGCTCATTTTGCAGAAAACAAACTACACTGCAGAAGGCAATCTTGCCTCCGCCTGGCTAACGCTGCTAGGATCCCCACGAAGGCTGAATTAACACTAGTGTTAACAAACGCACGAACCCGGAAGCCTTGGCAGATATGAGATCTACTGAGCCCGAAGTACCATTAAAATGCAAAATCGGGTGTTTTATGCTGCTTCCTCCCTTCTGCCCGGGTGTTTCCCCCCCCCCCTACAGCGTCCCCTCCACCCAAGACGACCAAGCTCCTTTCCTGCCGCCAGCAGCCATCGGCAACTAAGGAAGGGCAAATCGGATGCATCCCGGGACGCTCGGCCTAGAAAAGCAGATTTCCACCAACTGGGCACCGTATCGCTAGACCCTCCGAGGAAAAAAAAACACACCGTCGCCTCCCGCCAGGCCCAAGTCACTCATACCCACCACTTTCGGCGCCGGCCTAGAAAAAGGAAGAGCTCTCGCGAGAACACCGCTCATCCCCGGTGTGGGGATGCTTGACTCCGCCCTCTTACTCTCCGAAAGGGTCAATGGGAAGTCTGGAAATGCAGAAGGTTTCCGCCTTCGTGAAGTTTGCTAGCGGGAGTAAACTCCGGGCAGAAGCTCTGCGAGCTTTCCCGGGAAAAGTCTCGGCTGTGATCGCTTTTTTATTTATTTATTTATTTTGATTTGTCAATCGCTTACAGGATAATAAGTATAAGTATATACATACCGTAGTTATGAATACATGAAATGGGTACATATAAGAAAAATAAAAGAAACAATAGGACAGAGACGGTAGGCACGTTGGTGCGCTTATGCACGCCCCCTGCAGACCTCTTAGGAAGGGGGTGAGGTCAATAGTCGACAGTCTAAGGTTACAGTTTGGGGGGTTTGGGGAAGAAACCACAGAGTCAGGTAGAGTATTCCAGACATTGAGACATCTTGTTGCTGAAATCGTATTTCCTGCAATCAAGTTTGGTGCGGTTTACCTTGAGTTTGTATCTATTGTTTGCTCTTGTATTGTTATGGTTGAAGCTGAAGTATTCATTTGCAGGTAGGACATTGCATTGTATGGTTTTATATACTATACTTAGATTGGACCGAAGATGGCGTAATTCAAGGTTTTCTAGGTCTAGAATTTCAAGTCTGGTGGCATAAGGTATTCTGCAACGAGTAGAGGAGTGGAGAACTCTTCTTGTGAAATATTTCTGGATTTTCTCAACTATGTTAATATCAGATACGTAATGTGGGTTCCAGACTGATGAGCTGTATTCAAGTATTGGTCTAGCAAATGTTTTGTATGCTCTAGTTAGTGTGATATTACCAGAGAAAAAGCTAAGTATGATTAGGTTAACAACTCTTAATGCCTTTTTGGCTATGTAGTTACAATGGGCTCTAGCACTTAGATCATTAGTGATGAGTATTCCAAGGTCCTTTACAGAGCTTGGATCATCAACAAGGTCTTGATTATTCAGCTTGTATTTTATTTTCTGATTTTTTTTTTGCCAATATGTAAGACAGCATTTATTTGTTGAGATTTGAAGTTTCCATTTGTTTGACCATTCTGATACATAGTCAAGATCTTTTAGAAGGGTAGCAGTATTGTCTGTGGTGTTGAATAGCTTTACATCATCAGCGAAAAGAACGCAGTTCTTAATATGATCACAGAGATCATTTATGTAGAGTATGAAGAATTGGTCCTAAAACACTGCCTTGGGGGACACCACTGTTGACAGGTACAGAATTTGATAGGACACTCCCAATTTTGACCCATTTTGACTCCCAATTTTTTTAAGGAGGGGGGCCAGGATCGGTTTTAAGCTGGTTGTCATATACACAAATACTTTTATGTTATTTTATTTTTCAATTGCTTACAAGATAATAAGTATAAACATAGTTATGAATACATGGATACATATAAGAAAAATAAACACTAGGACAGGGACAGTAGGCACATTGATGCGCGTATGCACGCCCTTTTCAAATATATGGTAGCCATGCCTTTATTAGAAAATGGGATGGAGCCCATTAAATAGTTTGTATGAAAGTGTGTTGTTCCCGGGGTGGGATGGGGGTTATTTTATTATTTTAATTATTTTTGTATGGTTTTTATATCCGTGTAAGCTGCCATGTGCAATATAAATTTTCTAAAACAAATAAATTAGCCTCTTCAAAGTCACAACATAGCATGCAAATTTAAGATATTCATTTATGTTTGCTATTAGGCAGGACAAAAAGAAAAATCGATGCATGGGAAAAATTTGAGCATTTGTTTGGAACTGGAAGGCTAAAATAGAATGTGAGAAAAGCCTTTCCACAATGATGTGGCTTAGTGCCTGATGTTTTATTGGCAAGATTTTAAGAAGTGGTTTCCTCTTGCTTTCTTCCTAAGATTGGGTAAAAGGTGACTGGGCTAAAGTCACCCATTTAGCTTCATTCCTCAGTCAGAACTCAAAGTATCTCCCCAGTTTCTAGGAGCCTACAGGTATATTCAAATCTTAGTCCATCAACTGCTAAGAGAGCTTACTTGGCTTTGCATTGTATTCTAACACTACTGAGGGGGGGAAAACCCAGCCTTTTTTGAAATTAAAAAAATACAGTTTTATAAATGGCTTTTTTCTAAGTACTTTCAAATTTGTTTAATTGAGAACAAACACATAAGACGAATGAGTAGGAAAACCAAATTTCACAACAATGAAGATTATGCTAATAGAATTAAATTGCTAGGCTTTTAGGTGTTATCTGAGCTTGGTTTTCTTCTTGCAGGCATTTTATTACCAGTTGGTAACATCTGATAGGACAAGCTGTTTTGTATATATAAACATCCAATAAACCCCACTTCCCAGTGACAAAGCACCGGAAATGCAAAGCACCAGACATTTGTCTGCAAGAACCAAGCTCTGCACACCTGAGGTTTATTCTGACCTTTTTATTTTTTGAATGCTACCTCAACTTATTTTGATTATGTGCTCTGTGCTTTTTTAATTATTTATATTGCTTTAAACGTTTTGCTTGGATGAGATGGGCAACTACATGAATGGAATACAACAAATCCAATATTACTGTAAGCTGCTCTTGCATGGAAATATTAGATTGCTTGTCAGCTTTCAGAGGTACTGAGTTTAAATTGAAGTAATCTAGTTCAAAAGTTGGTTTCTAAGTTTAATAATTATTTTCCATCAATTTGCTAAGAACTATGGACAGGAAGGACCAAATAAGTCAACTTGCCTAGGAAACAATAGGGATTATGTGAAAGAGTTGCAAATAGCACCAAATAACACTATCCAGTATTCCAGAACACTTTATTTGGAGTCCTACATAATTGTTGGCTGTCTTGCCTTTCCCTATCCCAGTAAATTTTATATGTATGTATTCATTTTAGAAAGGAATTTCTCATTAAAACTTTTCCATGTGAAAGACTGCACAACAAATTGTACATAGCTTCACAGGAGGTTATCATCTTTACTTGGGGTTTTTTGAAAAAAAAAAGTATGGTAGGGAGTTTTAATTTGCTCGTCAATTTGTAACAGGTGGTTTACAACATTTCTGTCACAAATTATAGAAGATACCAAGTTGCTCAGATACTACTCAAGGGTACTTAAGAACGAAACCGAATAGTGCAGCCTAAGCCTTGTAAATAAATCCTGCTTCTTAAAATTGAATTCACTTAATTCTTGTAATTTCAATTTAAATCGATTATGTAAAAAAAAAAAAATCACCGGTCTTGGTCAACTATTCCTATTGCAGCTCAAAAGTGAGCGGTCTGAATTTAATGGGGATCAAATGGTTATCATTTCGCTCTCCGAACAACGAACATCCGAGTCACTTCCCCGCCTCCAAAACAAACGCGAAAAATTCGCGCATGCGTCAAAGGAAAGCTCGCTTGACCCTTTCTCGTTTCCAAGGCAGAAACTGGAAGAAAACGCGATTGGCGCATGTGCACAAAGCACTTTCGGTCTTGACGGTGTCTTTCTTTGGCGAGGTCATAGAGATGGGAGAGCGCGTGTTTCCGGTTTCCACTTGAAGGCTTCTTTCGTAGCGCCTTCCGGGTGAGACGGCAAACTCAGCCGATGCCCTATTTGCGGTCACGTGAGATCGGCTTGAAAACCGGAAGTGCTGCCTCGCCCGTTTGTGTTTGTGTCTCCGTTTCTCAGTCCCGCAGTTGCTTTTTGAGGGCTCTCGGTTACCTCGTCATCCCAGAAGCGTGGACTCTGGGTTTCTGTCGGCTCTCGAGAGTGAGCCCGGGCGGGAGGCGGCGGTTGCGGCGGCTCAGATGGGAGGGAGCGGGAGGAGGCAGGGCTAGTTGCTATGTGGCGCCGGATCCTAGCTCTGCTCGTTCATCCATTTTTGCCCACCAATCCAGGAGCCCTCGGTATCGGCGGTGGCATGTTCTACGCGGTGCGGAGAGGTAGGAGAATTGGGGTGTACGCCACCTGGTGAGTACCTGCCCATCTTTCTCTCTCATCCCTTTAAAGCCAGAATCCTTAGGCTGGAAGCCTTTACCCCCCCCCCCCCCCCCGCCACCTCCTTTCAACAGCCCTGTAAATTGGATAATCTGAGAAGTACGAGTTCAGCCCGTCGAGGGATTAGAGGAGACAGCCTTGATTCTGGTTGCCTTCTCTTAAAAGCTCCTTAAACTCTCGACATTTGTCCTTGTTTTCATTATCCTGTACCGTCTTGCAGTTAGTTGGTAATAGTTCCCCCCCAAAAAACGGGTTCCCAGGATGAGATGGATCTTTGAGAATGCTTTGAACTTTCTTAACTTCAGCAGGAGCTATAAAGCTCTTCCAAAGAGGGGAGAGGGCAACCAATGATCTTCTGGGCAATGACATTAACCCTCTGGAGTGCTTTCTTATCTGCCACTGTGCAATTGGCAAACCATACAGAGGTGTAATATGTTAAGATCCTCTCTGTGGTGCAGCGGTAGAAGGTCACCAGCAGTTTTTCATTCAGATGTTGTTTCCTGAGAAGTCTCAGGTAATGTAAGGTAGTGTAAAAGTCAAGAGTAGCTGTATTCTAGGACATGTATATTTGCCTTCATTCAGGATTATGAAATAAATTATGTGTGTGTGTGTATGTTTTGGGACTGTGAAAATCTCATCCTATAGATGAGAAATAGCCAAGTTGAATTCATGAATATACCATATGTGTAGAGAGATTGCAAGACCTAAGTCACATAGGTGAGATGGGCGGTGTAAAAATTTAATAACACTCATAGATTTGTATTGTGGAAGGGGAGAAGGGACTTGGGCTGATAAGCAGTGAACTTCAAAAGTAAGATATTGTCTTCTAGGGTTTCCCTTCTCTCTATCATATTCCTTTTTTCAACTGAATGACATGTTACTTTCTAGTATACAAAGTAACTTGAAATGTAAAATGGATTAAGCGAATCTACAGAAGAAATTTCTCCAATTCTATTTTCATTTCACACAGTTTTAAAAAAAATCTTAAAGTCAATTTTAAAAACTAAAAGAAACGTCAAAAGAAGCTAAGATTTTCCATTTAGTAAATTCATAGTATTGTAATATAAACAATATGCTGACTGTATTTTGACAGGAATGAATGTAAAGAACAAGTTGATAAATATCAGTATGCCAGCTACAAGAAGTTTGGAACAGAGAAAGACGCTTGGGCTTTTATAAATGAAGAATCAACAAATTCATCAATTTCTTCAACAGGTATACTATGCAACTTTCTAAATTTGAATAGCAGAAATATAGAAATAGTTTTTTGATAATTAAATATAGTATGCTAGATCTAGTGAAAAGTAAGTAGAATGAGCTGTATATTCAAATGAAATTCACAACTCCAATCGTCCCAAAGGTGCTTTTTTCAAGAGACAATTAGACTTTCTGGTTTTTCTTTGAAGACATTTTGCTTCTCATCCAAGGAGCTTCTTCAGCTCTGAAGAAGATTCTTGGATGAGAACTGAAATGTCTTCAGAGAAAAACCAGAAAGTCCAATTGCCTCTTGAAAAACAGCACCTTTGGGACAACCATGACATGGATGACTGAGAATCTCCTAGACATTCACAAATCCAATGAACTGGTTATATCTCCAGAAAATAATTTCAGCTGTATTTACTTCTTGATGTAGGCAGTCTGGTTGTTATTTTAAATCAAAATTATTATTGTAATCATTAATGTGTCTTAAAGTTACCTTGCTTTTTAAAATAGAATTAATGGGTAAAACTTTATAACAAAAATTAAAAAGTTATAGCTGAAATAAGGGTTTTCCAATCATGCTTGCTTTTTAATAGCTAAAGTGGTCTGACCAATGTAATGCTATAGTGATAATTTTCTTCTGCAGGAGAAGATAGAAATTGAGAAGTATGGCAATGGTGTTGAAGAAATGTAACAGTTGTTGTGTAGGGTTCAGCTTAACCCAGTTAGAGGGAAGGGAAGGAGGGAAAAATTGATCCATGTTTATTGTGTTTGGCATAAGAAGATTTGTCAGGCTGTAACGTTTCTGTTATTGCACCATATACCAATAAAGCTCAAGCAGTTTATATGGTCCCTGTTTCCTAAACTGGTTACCTCATAGGGCTGACAGTAGGCTCACTGCACTTTTTGAGAAACCAATCAGGCAGAAAAATCTGACAAATCTATATTTTTAGATTTTTTATTTAGTAGAGAAGGTTCTTCTATCTCCGACACAGAAGATAGGCAATAAGAATTTAACAAATATCCCACTACTCTAAAATCTGGACCTTTTGTAATGAAGTTTATATTATGTTTGTTAGTAATATGCCAAATCTGAACAATGTAAAAGAAGCTGAGAAATAACCATAGCAAGAAAGATATGCAACCACCTATCTGCAGCCCTCACTAAGAAAATTGGATGAAAACAGATGGGTGCTGGATTCTGCTAAATTGAGCAATAGTTTCTTAAGGAAAGCCTGGGCCACTATCTCCTTCAAAGTTGGTATAACCAGTTCCTCTCACATGAATCACTGTTGTATGGACCCAACCATGTGCCATTTTTGGTGGGGGAAGCTTGTCCAACCAGGAGGCATAGGTCAAAAAGACAAGTGATCACACAGTCTCAAGGATATGTCTACTCTTTCAGAACAGACAGGTTCAAATTCTTCCCAGATAATAGGGCTAGACAATGTCATAAACACCTCTCTGGGATCTGCACAGCTGCCATTCACCTCAGAGTGATTCCAAATTACTTTTTCCAGCAGATGCATAGAAAAATCCTTACAGTGGCCTTGCAGATATCTTTAGTCCCTCCATACACAGCAGTGATTGAATTGGTAAGATACTGGCTGGTAACCTATTGATGCAGAAGAGTAGATTATACCATGACGTAAATCCTTCACAAAGCTGCTTTCTCTTCCTTGGTCAGGTTCACTCTTTGGCTTCCAGCAATAGCAATCTTAACATCTCTACCACCATTTCATCTCTCAAAGCTCCTCCAAAAACCAAGGGGAGTCTAGGCTCTATGAGCAGCAAAAATAGTTTCATATAAATAATCTTTAAAGGCGTCAATGCATTTTAGCTTTCATAATGATTGGAATTTCCAGCCATTTGTACAGCATGTTCTGTTTAGCTGATCTAAAATACCCCAAAAATACGGTCTTGGGTAAAATGAATAAAATGTGTTCACTTTTTACCAGACAATTGCAATAATATCAATTCAGTGTTAAAAGGTAAATTAAGTATGATTCTAGTGATGAAGTTGCTTGCAGTATCTGCAATGCTGCTTTCTGATGTTAGTGTTCAAATCATTTTTGGTAGTCAAATCCTATCTTTTAGTTACAGGTTAGGCATGGAAAATCCTGCATATTTTTTTCTATCAGATATGAATATTATCTGTGTTACCTTTGGATTAATAAATTGATAAAGAGAAAGGATTATCTCTTAATACTGTATATGGGAGTTATTTTTCACCCTTTTAAAAAGAGGGTTTTTTTAAAATTTGATGAGACTTGCACAAATATTAAACAAGGAAAGTCTCATGTGACAAGATCTTTGGATGTACGAGTTAAACTGATTAAAATGTTTATATGAACTCCAGTGATGTTCTTCAATATGAACGTTACATTTTCAATCTAATATTTGTATAATCTTTTTTCTCTAAGGCTTTGGTGAAAAGCAGGACAGTCATAGACGTTGCTTTAACAAGGCTACATCTGAATCAAGTTATATGAGATCATACAAAAGACCATACGAAGAGGTTTCAGAGAAGAAATATACATATAAGCGTGTAAAATATACAGATGTTCCTTATACTCCTCCAGCAAATAAGAATGAATTCGTGTATATGGGTAACTCCTCTCTTTCTGCAACTTGTTATAGTGCCTTTGAATCTGTTTTGTATTGGGTTTTTTCTCTTGAAAAACTGTATATCTTTAACTCTTATAGAAGTTTGGTACTATTGTTTTGCATCTATGCCAAATAACTATAAGAGATAATAAGAATTTGGGGTTTGAATGTTGCAATTTCTATATCTAAAATGAATACTAGGGAAGATAGGAAAAAAATAATGCTAGCAAACTAACAACCAAGCAAATAAGGGGCAACATTTGCTTAACTATTGGGAATGTGTGATAGAATGTAGTCTGGACTCCCAGGAGGGAGGAGCTACATTCCAGAGGGCCAAGAGGCAATGAAGTTCAAATAGTTTGGTTGGACTTCTCAGAGTATGCCTTTAATAATGTAAGTAGTTGCTTTAGTTTGGCAATATTGATGTCAGGCCCCCAAGAACCAAGGAAGATATGTAGAATTATTTCTAAGAAGTTTCCTTTATTGCTCCTCACCATAGACAGAACTCCTAGGGTCCTTTTTCCCCTAACAAACTAAACTTTGCTGCCTTTTGGCGCTCTGGAATGCAGCCCCTCCCTTGTGGCAATTCAGACTATGGAATTGGAGCAAAATGAAAAGTTTGGACGAAGGGAGCAGAGGTAGTATTCAGCAAGTTCTGACCAGTTCTGGAGAAACCAGTAGCGGAAATTTTGAGTAGTTCGAAGAACCGGCAAATACTACCTCTGGCCCCGCCCCCATCTATTCTCTGCCTCCCGAGTCCCAGTTGATCGGCTGGGTCTTCTTTTGCTGCCTTGCACAGGAGAACAGAGCTGGAAAGCAGGTTAATGGGGTGGGGAGGAATGGGGATTTTGCAGTATCCTTCCCCCAGGAGTAGGGAAGGAATGGAGATTTTACAGTATCCTTTCCTAGCCATGCCCACAGAACCGGTACGGTAGTAAAAAAAAATTGAATCCCACCACTGGAAGGGAGGAAGGAATAGACTTTGACATGGATTTGAGGGGAAGGAATTTTATCCAATTACAAATTTACATATTGTTTTCCAGTAGTGGAGGGAAGTTATCCAAAGCTGAATTATGCATTTCTTCTACTTTTAGCAGGCATGACACAAACCATAGGGGAGAGGAACCCCCTGAGCTAGTTTTCTAGGCCAGGTCTATGACATCTCGGGTCTGCCATCTTGCCAGTGCCATCTCAGAGTGGGACAGCACCTTGGGAAAAACTTGCTTTGCGACAACTTGCCGCGCCACTGTGGCACTTCCCTTCGCAGAAGGTAGCTGTCAGCCATGGCGTTGGAATGGGCCACATCTTCGGATCCAGGTCCGGCCTCCCATGGGTCTGGCCGATCAGTCAGTTCAGAGTGTGTCTGCTTGGCACAGCTATCTACAGTTGCTGCCTGCATGCGAAAGACACACCCTGCCTGCCAGAGAGGCCCTTTGCCTGAGCCACGTTTGGCTATTTTTTTCCCCCGTGGGCTTTTGCAGGAGGGCGGCATCCATGCCAGTCTCATCCACGCAGACTTCTCCTTCAGTGTGCTGCACTGGACTGTGACTGTTTCCAGGGGAGAGGAGCCAAGCAGGGGCAGCTTCAGTTTTCTGGCAACTGTAAATGACTGCCACTTAGGCCAATTTTTATGGAGGGGGGTTTGCCCTCTGAAGGCTTCCTCGCCTCACTTTCCAGCATCTCATCCCCACCCCCCCCAACAGACAGCTGTGCGTAGTGGACACTCTCTAACCTGACCAGACAGCTGCACCCACGGGATGCCACATTCAGAGATGTGCTGTGGTTGATGATCACCTCCCGCGAAGGGAGATGCTATGAGAAGAATAGCAAATTGTCCCAGGGCGAATTTCCCATGGCAATTTTATCATGTTGAGGTGGCTGTGACAAGATGGTGGCAAGGAGTTGTCCCATTTCATTCCAGGCCTGCCTGCTCCATTTGAAGATGAAGACATTTGTAACTTCCATTTTCCTTCTTGCATAATACAGTCTAAGGTAGGGGTCGCCAACCTTTTGGACCTCAGGGACCACCCAAACTCATAGTTTTAAATCCTGCGGACCACTAATATGAATTTTGACTGACGGTGGCTTCCTGATGTTGGTGGGAAAGTCGGTCCCATATTCCAGAGCTGTAATAGTCACAGGACTGGCCCTTTGGTCATCCCGGAGCAGCTGCTCCTCCACCCGGGTGCACTGACCTGCCATAGACTGGAGAAGCTGCTCTGGGATGACCAAAGGGCCAGTCCTGTGACTACTACAGCTCTGGAATATGGGACCGACTTTCCCACCGACGTCAGCAAGCCACCCTGGGGCAGATTTCCCTCTCCTGCTGTTGGTCTTACCTTCCAGTTCCAGCTCGCGTGGCTCTACTAAAGGTAAGGTTTGTGCTTGGCCGAAGGGTGTGGGGGCCAGTGGGTGGGCAGGCCATGTGGGCAGCACAGCCTTACGTTCTTGCGGAGCCTGGATTAGTTGCTTTGGGGGGGGGGGGGGACATTTGTCTGAGGACCACCAAAATTTTCCCGCGGACCACCAGTGGTCCCCGGCCCACTGGTTGGTGACTACTGGTCTAAGGGATCAGAGGGGGACAGTTTCCATCCTAGAGTCAGGCAAGCATTCCAGAGGCTGGGATTACCAGCCTGGGCTTTGTCCTTCAATCAAGCTACTTTTGCAGGAGCTATGATCATCTTCCTCGGCGCTTTTCCCTCTATAATGCCCCAGTTTCAGCTTAACGTTTGTGGAATGCCTGAATTGATAGATGTATGCCGTGTGGTGCCATTCTTCATGGCATCTCAACCAAATTTGTGAGGATCTGAGGATAAGAGTGAATGGACCTCTGGAATGAAGACCTGCTGATTTCTCTTCCATTAAAGATGGGATTGATCCTCTTAACCATGGAGTTCTGCTATTGGATTTAGGCAAATAATCATTATTTTCTGTGTCTGATCCTCTCACTTCTTCTCTCCTAGTTCCTTATTATGCTTTCCAGACCATGGCCTAATATGTTTTTGCTATAGAAATGATCTTACCAAGAATCAGTGATTTTCACTGACTTTCCTACCTCTTATAATTTATAGGTTTCACTCCTGAAATCTTCCTGTGGCTTCTATGTAAGGCACTTTGTAAAGTGCTGTTCAGTTTCTATCCTACAAAATAGGATAGAAATTTCTTATTGCTTCAGTCTGATATATTCTGGGACTAATGACCCTATCATTTTGAAGCAGGCTATTTGTTTTTGTTTTTTCCTTAATTCTGTAGGAATTTAAATAAATCCGGCATCTACGGCTGAAGGCAATTCTGTTTCATCAGTTGAAGTTGTGGCTTCCTTTACTTCCTCTCATCTGGTATAGGAGACTAGAAAAAAAAAAGATTGGCATACTCTATAAATGATTTTTGCCATTGTTTCATCTCAAGTTTATTGTTGAGGTACTGAGTGTTTACTATAATCATCCTGGAATCAATCCACCTTCTTGAGCTTGCTGTGAATCTTAGCCTGCTCTTGTTACAGCAAAATCATGGTCCTTTCCACTAGAGTGCAGACATTGCTAACAATGGTTCTCTGAGAATTTAGCTACGGGATCCATTCTCTCTTCCTTTTGCATTGCAAACTTTAGCTAAAGTTATACTCAGCAGGATGTTTTTTTTCAACAGTGTGAGATGTGCTGAGTGTCAGTTCCTACTCGATTGAAACCACGTTGCTTAGTCCTAGCTGCAGTTACTATCCTCCAGTGTTTGAAATGGAAGTATGAAGATACTTTTCCTTCTATGGTGGGGGGGAAATCTGTGTTCTCTTGATGAGACTTCCCCCCCCCCTTTTCTAAGGATAGTGATAAGTATTTGATCTTGCCTGCTGTTGTGAGGATACTGCAGCCTGAGATACCTTCCTCCACATACAAAAAAATATCCCTGGTAGTTCCAATAAGTCTGTTCCCCCAGAATTCTTTTTTTTTGTGTGTGTGTTGGCAATTTATCAGCTTAGAGTTTTCAATTTTGGCTTCCATTGTATAGTATGCTTAAGATGATACAAAAGTTACAGAGCTTTGTTAAAACTGATTAAATATTATATATCGTACTCTGAAATCATTTTATCATCTGTATTTAAATGCGGTTTCCAGAAACAATCTATTTTAATTGTTTAGGAAATTTGATATCGTCCTGTAATGTTTTAATGCAAATCTGCCTTTCTAGGAGATTATATAGTTGTTTACACGGATGGATGTTGTTCAAGTAATGGACGCCAGGAAGCACGTGCTGGAACAGGTGTATATTGGGGGCCTGGTCATCCTCTGTGAGTAAGCTTTTTTTTCTTTTCTTTATATCTGCTAGGAGAGGTTTTGGCAGGCATCATGTCATCTCCACTATTACAAACATATCATGCATGATGGACTTTAAAACAGAGAAATGGCTGTAATGTTTAGATGGAGAGGCTAAGAAGATGTTTGGACAACCCTTTTAATATTTGATTCATGGCTGGTCATTGTGAAACTTTGAGTCAAATTGGCAGTGCAGTTTTCAGAGCAGAGAAGGTCTATCAAGTGACCCCTGTCCAAAGCAGACCCTGGCCACACCTGCTTTTGAAATACAAACTTTGTCATGCAAAGTATAACATATCCCTCAAACCGATAGAAACTCTGCATACCTGCTCTTAGCAGTTGGCGTTCATTTAATAAGTGGGCACGATTGGCTGCAGATCGTGCTATGTGTACAGCCATTTTGCTTATGCCCAGATTATTAGTATGTAAGTGAAGTGAGTACAGGTAGTTCTCGTTTAATGACTACTTATTCACTTTAAAGTGCATGACTGTTTGAAGTTAGAACAGTGGTGAATTAGGGAACGTACAGCCAATTCTCAAAGTTGCAGCCATCACAGCACCCCTACAATAATTTGATCACATTTCTGAGGGTCGCAGTGTCCCGATAGGAAAGGTTGCCTTTTCCAGTCTTCCCACAAGCAAAGTAAATAGGGAAGCCTGCAGAAGGTTGTAAGCCATGGTCATGTGACATCTCACTTAATGATTGCATACAATTTACTTAACCATAGCCACTGAAACTACCATTATAAGTTGGCACATCCACATGATTTTTCAATCTATGACTGCATCACTTAACAATGAAGTTGCCAGCCCCAATTACCATTGTTAAGAGAGGACTATCTGTATTGAAGTAATTTTATATATATTAGTCTAGGACACTGTTTCTACTGCACCTGTTGTTGTATAAAATCACACTTTGACTTAATGCTCTTTTCAATAATTTTGCTGTATGTTGTCTTCCACAGAAATACTAGTGAAAGACTTCACGGACGGCAGACAAATCAAAGGGCTGAAATAAATGTAAGCAATAACTGAATTAATGTTAAACTTTTGCAATAAGGCCATTCAAATTATTTAACTTTGCCAGGAATATGGTCTTGACATTTGTTTATCTACAAAGGATTGATCTGCCCTACTATAAAATGGAAAACCTCACTATTCATGTCTACTGTATAGGCAGTCTTCATTTAACGACCATTTATTCAGTAAGTGTTTATATAATCACGATGGTATTGAATGAGTACAATGGCATTAACCATTGTCACATTGTCTCTGGTCATGTGATCAAAATTTAGGCACTTAGCAGCTAGCCTACATTTCCAATCATTGCAGTGTCCTGTGGTCACATGATCACTATTTGAGACTTCCTGGCTGGCCTCCAATGAAATCAATAGCCTGGCAGGAAGTCACAAGGCACAAGTTCCTGCTTAACCACCAGAGAATCCTCACTTTGTTATTGAAGCATTTCCTGCCAAACCTCAATATTTTGCTTTTATGCCAATCAGAAGTGTATAGTCCTATTTTGGCTCTAAGGGATCTGAATGGTGCAGATAATTGTGGTCTATTTACTCTGGTTTGGCGGCAATTTTTGCTAAAAACTAAAACTCAAAAGTGGATGTGTTCCTCTTAGGTTTAGATTTCTGGTTAACTTTCAGGACCATTAATTAGGGCTTATTTCTGAACTACCTGGTTAAGATCCAAGTTTGGGGTAGGATGTTTATTCAGAGTGTTAATCTTGCTCTCAAACTTGTATCTACTATTGCTGGATAAAATTATTGATAGGGTTTTGCAGTATGATGCAGCTTTTATGGAAGATACCCAATCTTAAATTTTCCACTGACTGGCAGTTCTTCAAATGTTGTAGTCATGTCTGAAGACACAACAAGAGATATGTATCCAGTCTTTTACTGATTATGCTAAAAGCTCCAGCTTGTAGTCTCAGAATATTGCTTAAATCTTCTCTTGCCATATTTAATATCCATGAGTGGTTTCCAAGAAAAAGGAACTGAAAGCAAGTATCATCATGTTTATGAAAGGCAAACATTTAGAGGAGTAAACAGGCAAGGCTCCCTGGGATAAGCACCGGTAGTTATGTATGCAGTGTTCTGGCATGTGCATGTCATGGGATAGGTTTGGAAAGCTTTTATACCCATCACACTGAGCATGAATCATGGGTATCAAACAGACTCGGTTAGAACTATGAGAAACTAGCATCAGCCTGTGAAAGGCCTTTCCTGTGAACTTCTCAGTATTTCTGCACCTGATATTACTGCTCAGGGATATTCTCAAATCACGCTGTGCTCTAGACTACATCTACTGTTTTTCATACTAAAAGTTCAGTATAGTGTTAGCTTGGTTGTGTGAATACCCAACTAGTATGCCCAGTGAAGTTGTCTTTGGAGACATTAGAGCTGTCCGTGAGGACAAGTAATTTAATTGGATTAATGAAATATTTTCCAGTGGGCAGCTGCCTTTGAAATGTATCCAGCAATTTCATCTGGATGAGAATGTCATGCCCAGACAATGTCATTGTCTGGGGCTCAGTGCCAAATAGTACAAGGTATCTTCGTAGGCACAATTCAGAAGGGTTGGTTTTCTCCTATAAAATCAAACACAATGTGGGATTGGGCTGTTTGAAAGAACACATTCCAGGCTTTAAGGGTACTGGAAATCCTTCTGTCCTGCCATGTAAGAGATATAGTAGATAAGCACATAAGAAAGGACATTTTCAGTGGCTTCTCTCAGACAGAGGCTAGAGGGGCCTTGGTGATTCTGCCCCATTATGATTGTGCAGTGCTTCAGAGTCAAAGGAAGAAAAAAGAGTATGGATATACAAATAGAGAGCACTTGTTTGCAACACCTTAAATCAGTGGCATCTTTTCCTGGCATCGCATACGTGGCCTTTCACAGCTGCTTAAAAGAGTTGCAAACAAGTGCTTCTAGATCCCCTTTTCACTTCAGATCTAAAATGTTACCTTCCTTTTTCTACAGGTGTTCAAATAATGATTTTATTCAGGTAGGCCCTGGGATGAGAATTTTACCGCGGGAATGGATAAGTTTTAATGTTTTGAGCGTGATTTAGTCCACTGATGAATTGAAATAAAACTACAATTTCTGAACTCAGAGGAATTGTAATAGTCACATGAACATTCATTTCATGCATCTCCAGCAAGAAAATTCATGTCTAGTTACACCTAAGGATGCAAGAGCCAATGAAATATTTATAAGAAAACTCAGTAAATGTCATGGTAAATAGTCAAACATGGCTTACATCCTCAGTTCAACCCTGAGCTACAAACTTTCTCTTGTATCAGTATGGTTTACATCCTTCAGGGGGAACTTGCAAATTTCTGTAGATAAAGTGTCTTGTACTGCAATTGAATCGCAGCAATTTTGTGGGTTACAGTCCTAAAACTGAAATCAGTATTTATTCAGCTTCTTTTCTCCTGAAGTATGTTCTCTAAATGTTTTCTTCAGGCAGCTTGCAAGGCAATAGAACAAGCAAAGCGTCAAAATATCACAAAACTGGCAATCTATACGGACAGCAAATTCACCATTAATGGTAAGCGTTTTAGTCACTGAGAAATGAAATAGCCACCTAAAATGATAACAGATTAGAGAAGGCATGCATTCTCTTGTCGTACCAGACATGGTCAACATCCATTGAACTATTTTTTTCTGCAATTAAAAATGTTTGAAAATATTTTTCCCTTTGCTTTTTATTTATTTTTAAAGCATATGAATATAAATACAAAAGAAAGAATATATAATATTCCTCCAAGGAGCTGGGGTCTGAAATGTAATATGCTATGGTGAAATTTTCTGTGTGATGTCATACTGAGAGAGCCCTTGTTGCGTTTCTTTTTATATTTGGACCAAGGTGGTGGCCTATGTATAAAACCTCTGGAATCCCTTGAGCATGTTCCAATGAGCATGTTCCATGCTTTCTTTTACATGTATTTAAACATGCAGTTCTTCTTCCTGTACAAAAGAAAACAGCAAAATGAGATGGCAGATACTAGTAAAATATGATGAAACAGAATGTATAGTTAATGCAGGTATTTCCAGGACATTGAATATGCTGGTAAGCAAATACATGACATTCTGTAAATGTAGCATTAAATTTTGACCATGCAAAGTAGAGTTAATCAGCCTTTCCATTGTGTAGGTCAGCGGTCCCCAAGCTTGGCAACTTTAAGACTTGTGGACTTCCAACTCCCAGAATTATCCAGCCAGCTGTGGGAGAAGTCCACAAGTCTTAAAGTTGCCAAGCTTGGAGACCTCTGGTGTAGATAGAGAGGTAGCTCATAAACAGAAAACAAATATGTATTATCAATATCATAAACCAATTATAAAAGAATCATTTTTGGCTACTCCCCATTATTTATTTCTTCATGTAATGTTAATACCACATTTTTATATAGATAAGAAACATAGCCATATCTTAAAAGATATGTAGTGCTGCATCTAAGACAGATTTCTGAATATTACACTAAACTGGAACAAGCCTATATCATATAAGCAAGCATCTTCATTTTATTATATTTTGCATAATGAATTTGACAGACAATTGTTTTAAAGCATTCTTTTAGGTGACTAATAAAAATGAAAAAAATCCTTTGCTGAATTATCTTAATATTGTAAAAAACATTATTGCTAAAGATCATTAATCAAAACCAAATTCAAGTACTGTTTGCAATTGAGGAATCAGGTGCTGTGCTGCTGATGTATTTAGTCCAAATTGTAAAATTGAGAGGTTTTGATTGAGTATACTACCATTTTACAATTTTAGACAGCCCAAATTCCTTTTTGCAACAGTTCAGATCATTCAAGAATTTGATTGGCAGTATTAATGCTCACATTAGTCCTTGAGTTCAGAACAGAGAGATTGATTTATAGTTTCCGGACTGGAGTTACACCTAAATTTAAGTTTATTGTGTGAATAAAAGTAAAAATTATATTTCTATCGTAAAGCTTTTTTTGGACTTCTCCATCTGGCCATCAGATTTTAAGCTGGACTTGAGGGAGTTTTCACTTTTTTTTTACTTTTGTCTTCAACTGTATGTATTCTTTTGCCATTTCCTAAAGTATAATCTATTTAAACACTATTTATAAATGTGTATTTTCATTTAATTAACAGTAGCAAATACTCTTTGTCAGGGTATGTACATTGTTGACAGTAGAATTGGGTGGAGGCTACAGCTATTATTTCTCCTTTCTCTCTCTGCCTCCGCCCCACTTCCCACCATCACCACCATCATGGCATGAGATTTGCCAGGCATTATTACCTGTTAGGATTTATCATCTTTCAATCTGCCTTCATTCAGTCCTACTCTACAGTCCAACATTCAGTAACATACTGAATTGCTCAGGTTGGAGATCAGATTATCACTGGAGCCTCAGAAAATTGATGAAAACATAGCTAATGGTAACTAAGTAAATCAATAAATTGCTTCAGCTTTTGGAAGCAGAGGGTAGCAATGAGTTGATAAAGAAATTGTCTGAATAAACTTTTATTTGGAGTCGGGGATTGAATAACTGCAGCGAGATGTCCAGATGTCAGGTTTGATATTAGCAATTATGTTCTGACTCGCAAAAGCAATTGACCTCAAACTAAATGATAGAGGATCACAAATCAAGTAGAATGCATATTATTTGTCTGAATTGCAATTACAAACTGGCCTGAGCCAATATTGCAATTACAAATTATCTTGAGCCAATAATAGGGACTATTTACCGAACAACTTTGGTTTATCAAATTGTTAGCCTCTTGGATCAGCTCAGTTACATGGGATTGTTTCAGATGGAGAGGCAGAGGAGAATTTCAGCAGATAGTCCCATAAGTTCTGGAGCAGGCATCCAAATTACAGTCTCATAGTAGCAATCACATTTTTTGACAGGGGTGACAAATTGGATCCCAAACTGGAAGAATAACGGTTGGAAAACCAGTGCAGGAAAAGAAGTAATAAACAGAGAAGATTTTGAAAGGCTTGCTAAGCTTTCAGAAGGGATGGACATCCAGTGGGTAAGGGATGTTTTTTCTAAAAAATTGACTGAAGTTTTAAAGAAATTCACAGATTGCCGATTAAAGTAGCTATGATCAATAGCAACATGTGAAATGAGTTACGTCAACCCAAATGAAAGAGATTTATTTGAAATCTGCGACTGGGTTCATATACTGTACCAAGCTATACAGTATATTCCTTTGGACTCTCTGATATGAATGCTGCACCATTAAGGCATAGAGGAAGATAAGTGAATATTGCAGGTAGTTGTAGAACACACATTGTTATATGTCTGGAGTAATTAATTTGGACTCTTGTTATCAACAGATGCATGTTCCTGGTCATGCTGGCTTTCCTGGAAATGAAGCAGCTGATCGATTAGCAAAAGAAGGAGCTGGAAAATCATCATGTTAGCATTTTATAATGCAAATCCTCCACTTAGTGATAAGAATAAAGATTACACTTGTTTTAAGTTCATATTTGTTGTCTCCATATGCTTTAGAATAAATGAGACAAATATTTTGCTTAAATGGTGAAGAATGTAAATGCTTATGTACCCTATGTTGTTGTTCCCAATCTGTGTCCAAGAGTTGAATTTTGCATCATATTAGTTATGTAAAACAGCAAATTGGAAAGTCTTAAAAATACAGGAAGTACAATACAAAACCAAATTATTAAATCATCATAATCTTACCCAATCTGGTACAAACTCTGAATGTAAGACCAATGTTCACAGTATATTCAGGTGTTTTGGAGCAGATTACTTTGTTATTTATATAAATGATTATTGGTGCTGGCATACCTAGTATACAATGCTGGCACAATAAACATGTTTGCTACTTATGGTTTCATTTTTTACATCCATATTCCACAATTTATCAAGGAGTTTAAAGTGAGTTAACATGGACATTGCTACTTTTTATCCCCACCCTGAAAAAACTCTACTTAGTGAGGTAAATGGGCGCTGATTTACTTCCAATCACACTATGATTTTCTGTAACAGGATAGATTTGAATTTAAATCAACCAGGTCCAAGTCCAGAATTTTAAAACACACTGGGTGTGTTTTATAACTTATTTACTGTACTTACATCCTTTTTCCTCCAAAGTTCAGTGTTCCCTTCTGACAGGAAGCAATCTACATAGGAAGATAGCATCTATTCTTATAATAATCTATTATAGCCTGTAGAGTTGGAATATATGTCTATTATGTCTTCTATGTAGTTGGGAAAGGCAAGACAAGATTTGGTTCTGTATTTGAGCTGCTTTACAACATTCCAGAAAACTAGGTCACTTTTCACCCATCTGCCTTCAGTGCACATGTTTAAGCTCTTATAATGGAGATTTTTTGTTGACCTGCCCAAGGAGATTCAAAGTTTGTACTTGTAATGTAAATGTATAAAATATTTGCATCAAAATGTATTTATTTCATAAGAACAATAATCAATTTGAGAAATGTTTCAGCCTATCACTGCATGAATGCATGTCCTTTTTAAAACCATAATCCATCTTTTGGTGCAAGATACTATAAAGTTCTGTCTTGGATATGTTGTGGCTTTAATAAGCCAGCATTTCTAAATTAAATATGTATTGATTCTCCAGGATTGTAAAACAAGGTTGCTGTACTCTGGTCCTTGCACAAAACAGATCATCGCATGCCATAGACTTTATGGCAATATAATATATAATTTCATCACAGAGCGTTTAAAAATAAGTTATATACCTCTTTATGAGACAATTTGTCAAGATTTGATAGATTCCCTTGATTTTGTTCTGAAAGGAATGAAAAAAATACACGCTGAAATGCCGTATCCCTGCAATAGCAAACAGCCATTTTGTTCTGAATAGTTCAGCATGTTTCTCAAGGGTCTGAGAAACTGATGGGGACACGTTTTCTAGTTTCACTTAGTTATATAAATATTGAGTAAATGTTTAGAAAGTGAAATTAGAAACCTGTGACGCATAGCTAACTGAACAATAGGCAGATTTTATAAGGAAAATTAAATTAAAATTAAATATTATTAAATAAGAGTAGAACTAGACTGCAAGTAGGTTGAAGCAATCTGCTCTTGTAACATGCCTTGCAATTTGACTTTGATGGTGAACTGGTTCTCTTAAGATTATTAATGACCTCTCACAACCAGGCCTCTTTCATATCCCCTTCATCAATCAGAGTGTACTTCTGTTGATGGGTCTCTCCTTGAACTTAAAAGGCCAAAAGTCGTTTGCTTGATCTCCCCGAGAAGGGATAGTACAGAATTTACAACAGATGTTTTCATGCATGGTTGCCCGCCCTTCTAGTTCCTCTTCTGCTGAGGACAGGGCTTGTTTTCCAGGAGGGAGGATTTTCAAACTGGGAGCAGAAGAAATACCGCCATTAATTGAATAGTCTTAAATAGATTAGTTATGATAGATTGCAGGGATTATTTGCAAAACAACACTTCTTTTTACTCACTTCCCTTTATTTTCTTAGGAATTGGAAAGGGTAGGAGTGAAGTATTAGCCTCTCTTCTTATTTCAACTAATATCACATAAGCTTAGTGTTGAGAAAACTCAAGTTCATAATAAGCATTTCATAGTACTTTAAAAACTTGAGCAAGACAACTGGTCAGATGAGGGTGCAAATCGTGAGAAAAAACTTAGAAATCTAGCTTTAATTGTGGCAGATAGGTTGGTATTCCATTTCTATAAGCACTCATCTCACCTTCATGACTGGGTAGCTTACAATTAAACCATCAACAGTACCAAAACAAACAAGAACATAAAGTAAGTTTACAAACAATACAAAGTTAAAAACAATGTAAACATTTTTTAAAAAAACTATACAATGCAGTCACCAGGAGAGTACATTCAAGAATCATACAAGTAGTCCTCAATAGCTGCCTTATGTAGCATGTAGCATCAAAGGTATGATGGGGCTGAAAAAGTAATTTTACTACTGGTCCTCATACTGTCGAAGCAGCGTCCTTGAAGTCATGTGGTGGAGATTCAAACGGTATGTAAAACCGGTGGGTGTTTATGATTGGTGTGGCATTCCGCAGAAGATCACCATTTACACACTTCACAGCAAGCTTCCAGCAAGCAGAATCAACTGACTAATTGGCAGTAAAAATCACAACTTAACAACCGTGATCAATGGTTTTAGTGGCCCTAGCAGAAGTGAGATTGTGACACCCCACCCCTTACCAGTCACAGATCTTGCTTAATGACTACCGGTATATCACAGGATGGAGTTGCTGGTTGGTCCCAATGGTGGTTAAACAAGGACGATCAATAGAATTTTGAACAGTTCCAACTATTGCTCAAAATTACGAAGCAGGCGAACAAGGAGGACTTGTGATGGCACAGCAAAGTTGCAAGCATCGCAGCAATCTCCATGGTCAATGATTGCAACCCAGGTGCCTGGCTCAGGATTATAATGTGCAGTGAACTACAGTCACACGATCACCATTTGCAACCTTCCTTGCCAGCTTCCCACAAGCAAAGCCAACGGGGAACCCAGCAGGGATATCACAAGACACTCCAAGTTGCCCCTCCCCACTTTTTCTTTCAAGGACCTCCACTACAGAATATGAAACCACAGGCATCTCATATTCCACAGCATTCTCTGCCTGTTTGCACTCCTCAGCACCTGCCGTCAGCTCTTGCTGGCCCACAGGCACTTCCCAACAGCACCTTGCCAGACAACCCATGGGCTCCTCAAGGCCTACTTGTGCTCCCCAGCACCTATCTCAACCAGCTGCACTCTTTAGTGCCTGCCTATGGCAACCCCAGCCCCCAGCATTTGCATACCCTCTATGCTACTTACCTGGAACTCCCACCTCTTCCAGCTTAATGACCTGTGTGGTCCTGGGGTTACGACATCTTTGCTTACTAGCTGCAGCTCTGCCTCTTCTCCAGACCTTGCAACTGCTGGTCGTCTGTGCTGACTGGCTGCAGGTGCTCCCCTTCTCCAGACTGCACAACCAGAGGTGGGTTTCTACCGGTTCTGTCCACCTCTGTAGAACCGGTAGCTCTGAAGAGCAGCAGACATAGAATCGTTTCTATGTCTGCTGATGTTTTTGCCCACCTGCCCACCCGGGCTCTTACCTGACCTTTATTTCCTGATTTTTTTCAACTTCAGCTGCCGTGCGAGGCACAGCTGCAGTTAAAAAAGCAGGAAAAAAGGGCTTTTTGAAAGGCTGCTTCTCTGCACGCAGCATGCTGATGATGATTTACAGGCGCGTGCCAGCAGCGTGCAGGGAAGCACATTGTAAATCACCGAACCTCCTAAATGACTGAACTGGTAGTTAACTCTGTCGGATCCCACCCCTGTGCACAACCAGCTGTTTGTCTGGCCGGTCTCTCCTGGATTCCCCTGATGTTCCCAGGACTGTTTTGCCTCAAGCCTCTGAGTCTGTCATAGAGCTTTCCATGTCCCCTGATGCTCCCCATAGTCCCTCTCAAATGTCTCCAGAATCACCCCTTCCTCATTGTCTGAGCCGGCACCCAAGGGAGCCATCACAGACAGGTCTTCAAGTTCTTCTGGAAGGCCAGCAAGATCAGAGGGAAGGTTGTTCTATAGATAGATGTTCTAGGGGTGGATCTATCAGCAGAGAAGACCATCCTTCTGGATCTCACCAGATGACACTCTCCAGTTGTACCCACCCCAAGACTTTTGCTGAACCTGACTGGATGGGTAGATGTCCCTGGAGAGAGGCGGTCCTTCAAATAATCCAGCCCCATGCCATGTTGCTGCTTATTTTAGTCTAGAAATCTTCCTTCTGCTGCCCCTTTGGGGGGGGGGGGGGGGGGGGGGAGGGATTTCCAAAAAGACAAAAAATCACTGGTCTGGTTATTAGACAATATGGTTGAGTCCATACAAAGCTTATGTTGATTTGTCAGCGAGTCTGGTTTTACCCTAGTGAAGTTTATGTGTGTTCCCTTTTTTTAAATGTTTCATGCTATTTTAAAATATTTAGTAACCTTAAGATTTTGAGATGGATAGTCATGTAAGTGGAGAAATAAATCAATAAAATGGTAGATCTAATTGTGAGATAAAATGGTAGATCTAATTGTGAGATTCCAGCTCAGCCCCCTTCTATTCCTAATGCCCATTAAAAGAGGCGGAGCTTCAATCAGGTGTCTGCAGTCCATTAATTTGTCTTCTTTTATCGATGCCATCTGGGCTTCTGTTTCCAAACTGAATCCACCTGGCCCTCCATGATGTAACTCATTCAACACATATTCTTCCTATTTCCCCCACCACACTAATCCTGTGAGGTGAGTTGGACTGTGAGAGAGTGATGGGCCAGAGAGTCACCCAGCCAGCTTTCAAGACAGAACTAGAAGTCATGGTCTCCTGCTTTCTAGCCTGATGCCTTAACAAAAAGATCAAAGTGGATTTTGTATGTAAACATTGACATACAAAGCTCCCGCCCACTCCTTTTTGAGTATGGTTGCTTTCGTGCCACTTGTGGCATGCTGGAGTTCTAAACAAAAGAACGCCAAGGGTTTTATAGGTGAGATATGCTGATTGTGAATAGACCATATTTAGTCCTCTTTGCTTCATTCCAAGTAAAAGTTAATGTTCCCTCAGATTATACAATTTTAGTTATACTGTATAATTTAACTAGTACTTACATTTCATTCTTATTTTATTCCTAATTTAATAGGAATTCTTTATGTACCTCCAAGCTTGGAAAAATCATTGCATACATGATTGGCTATTGATCAAAATATTTTTAAAATGTTTATATCTGTTGTGAGTCGCTCAGAGTTCTTTAAGATAAGCAGCTATTCAAATCTTTTAAATAAGTAAATAAATATTTGGACTCACTTGCAACTCAATGTGTTATGATCA